TCAGACATGGCATGTCACCCTGACACTGATCAGGGAAATAATTTAGGAAGGTAGTGCGGAGTGGAAGAAGGTGGAGAAGGCTTACTTGGCCAGCATTCTCTCGTGGGCAGGGTATACAGTTGGAAGGAACATTTGATAAACTACTTGAGGTGTTGAGTGAGAGACTTTACCACTTCTACACTAAGAGACATGATCCACATTCACATAATGCTGAATGACGCTTTCTTCTAAGAAGTTCTGCACTTACTCGCAGACTTTTGAATATAGAGTGGGACATAAGTATGGAGCGGGAGGTGCATTGCCTGAGGCATGGAAGATGATTCTCCCACCCCCAACAACTTGCCCTGAAAATTAAAGAGACAAAAATTTCTTTAAATTAAGACTTTGAGATGACGTCTGCCTACAAAGACAGCAAAGTAAAAGCCTGCCTGGGATGTACACATATTGTACAACCAGCCTCATGTATAATCATGTCAGAGTCTTCTTGGACTACACTGGACCTGAAGAAACTCAGGTTCGTGTATCATGAAGTCGGAATATATTACATTAATGTGGGAGGGACCAAGCACAATCTTACTGGCCAAAAGTTAATCTCACATGGCAATGTTGGTACAGACCTGGAGTCAGGACCTCCTGGTGTACCAAATGTTTTACAGGTGATTATGTTTTAAATATTGATTCAAAGTCATTGAACACATTGGTTATTTGTAGCACATTTTTCCATTCCCTCTCTCCAAATGGATGGACTCCACTCAACAAGGCAGATGAAAACTGGTAACAGCTTGCTAATGGATGTCAGAATCTTAGCTCATTTTATTCAAGTGTTCTTTCATTTATTCCTTAATTCATCAAACATGTATTAGATGCCTAAATGGTCCAAGCATCTGGAGTTGCATAGGGAATTATAGTAAATACAAACAAACATTGTGTGTATGTGTGATCTGAAATGTTTACTAGTTGTGGTATGAGAGAAGAAACATACCATTAAAATAAAACATTTGGCTCTTGGGCTAATTTCCAAGATGTTTGAAAAAAAAAAATGTCCATTTTGTGTGTTCCCTCTTCATGACTGGGTTGAATCAGGAATACAAAGCCACCAGAGATTTGACTACAGCATTTCTCTTATACAAGTTAAATAGAATACTGACATTCAAATTATGCTTACTCTCACCTTGATGCTTTTGCAAGATTACCTGAAAACTTCAAGACAGTTTGAAATAAACTCACCTATTCATTAGTGAATTCAGCAAACATTTATAATACCTATCATGGGCCAGGCATGGTGAACAAGTACTGGGGAGTAAAGACACAAAGAAAGAGCTCCAAAAGAACTCATTATTTGAAAATAAGCAGCAGTTGAATAAAGAGCTTACACTTCAGTGTATCATTTCATACAAGATACAGAGGAAGCACAGAGGCACGTGGAGGAGAGTGAGGTTGATTGGACCCAAGTGTCGAGAGGTTTCCTGAAGAATGTTAAGTTTAAGTTACATTTGGAAGGAAGAATAGGGGGTGAAGGTAGAGATGGGCATGTCAGAAGGAAGGATCAGCATTCACCAAGGAACAGACGCCCGCAACAAAATGTGTGCCCTGGGAAATATAACCAACTCATGACTGCTGGAGCAAAATATGCTAAACAGTACTTATGATAAAGCTGTGTTTTAGGTATTGCTAACTTGAGTAGGACAGATCCTTGTGATGCATTAGTTGAAATTTGCATGGAGTCTTCCACAGTCTCTGTCTCTCCTTCAGACTACGTTACAATCACATACGTTTGTGATCATATAGTTATGATATGGTTAAAACCAACAATGTCCTTGTAAAAATGGCCAACTGATTGTAGAATTGACCACATGACAGCAAAGATAAAATTGGGAGACCATTTTGAAATACCTGTCTATGGCCACAGAAAGATTTGAGCCTAAGATCTATATCCCTCTTTGCCATCTCCTCCCTAGCAACTTTTATTTTCTAATAGACTTTTTCATCCCTCCCCTCCCCCTCCCCTTACCCTCCCCCGTCTCCCTCCTTCCCCTCCTTTTCTTCCTCCTCCACTTCCTCTTCCCCCTCCTCATCCTCCTTCTCTTCTCCTCTTCCTCCCCCTCCTCCTTCTTCTCCTTCTCCCCCACCCCCTTCCTCTATGACCCTCCGTGTTTATGACTACATACCAAACCTGGACTTTCATCTGCAAAGTGGTTTTAAATCTATGTTTCCAGAATTCTTTAGAACTTCCTGCGGAGAATCCTTGGGGATGACTCGGTCAGTGGCATTGCAGGCTTACTTTCTTCACCGATCTTTGACAGATTCATATAGATCTACTATTTAAGTTGGGGCTTTGGGCAAGATTTCATTTGAAAAAAGAGTTCTTATGCCTCTTTAAGTTTTAATATTACTCCCCTTCTTGTCTAATTCTCATCTTTTGAGGATAAACGGAAGCAAACAGGGGAGAAGTGACAGCATCAACACTCTATATACTACCTCAACAGAACGACATTCGAACATGGGTATTGTATTCTCAGATGCTCATCCCATTAGGTTATTCCAGGCAAGGAGTCTCCTCTACCACCCTGCCCACTATAGCAGAAGAAATCCCTGTCTGGAAACTGTCATGACAAAGATGGTACCATGTGCTCTGTGTTTCCCCTCAAGTGTAGACCTAATTGTCTCCTAACCTCCTTTTAGCTTTAATCAGAACCCCTCTGTCCATAACTTTCCATATTTAATTCAATTTGAACCATTTACCACATTTATTATGCTCAGCCTTAGAAACACAAGGTTAAAAGAATATGTGTAATCTTTGAAATGGAGTTTCTCATCATCTTCTCTGTGGATGGGGGACACAGACATGAACATACCTGACTCCTTCAGTGAAACCAGTCTACATTACAGGCATGTTGTTATGGGCTGAATTGTGTCCCTAAAAAGATATGTTCAAGTGCCCACTCCCAGTACCTCAGAAAATGACTTTATTTGGAAATGAGGTGGTTGCTGATGTGACTTGTTAACATGGGGTCAGACTGGAGTAGGGTGGGGCCCTAATCCCACATGACTGTGCCCTTATAAGAAGATGGCTGCATGAAGACAAGACACAGGGAGAGAGAGCACCATGTGAAGATGGAGGAGAGACTGGAGTGATGCACTCACAGCCCAAAGAACACCAAGGATTGCCAGCCATTATTAGAACCTAGGAAAAAGATAGGGAAGAGAGTCTCCCTCAGAACCCTAAGAAAGAACCAATTTCAGCTCTCCGATGTTGGACTGCTAGCTTCCAGAACTTTGAAACAATAAACTATTGTTTTAAGCCACCTAGTTTGTGGTACTTTGTTACAACAGCCCCAGGAAACTGACACAGAAGCATAAAGTTCACAGGTGAACAAGCCATTTTCAACTTTGCTGTGTGTCTGGTACACTGCTGGGGGCAGGTGACACTTCACTTGGGTGCTCAGGGGTAAGTTGAGGTTGTCCAGAGGGAAAAGGGAGGATGGGCATCCACAGCAGAGAAGAAAGCAGAAGCAAAGGACAGGATTTGGAAAGATCTTCTGACGTTTGAGCAATGCTGAGCAGCCCTGTACAGCCGACATGGAACAGGAGGTGCTTTGGGTAAAGACTGTTGCAATGCCCTTTTGCAAGGAGAATTTACTTAAAGAAAAAAGAAAAAAAAATTCAAGTTTTGAAATCACTGTGTGTGTGTGTGTGTGTGTGTGTGTGCATGTGTTTAAATATGTATCTATCCCCAGATGGTTTTTCTTTCTTTCTTTTAATTTCTTTTTAATTATGGCAGCTATTCTCCAAACATGTTTTTGTTTATCTCAAACTAAGTATACAGTTTCAACATATGGAGCATATTTTGTTTTACTTCAGTTTATCTTAAGAAATCAGCTTTCCTAACTCTTGTTGGCAGTGGACCCAAATGATTTCTTACTTTTTATTTCCCTCTTTATTTTCTCCTCTTCCTTCTTTTCTTTCAGTTGTAACTGGTCTCTCTCTCTCCCTCCCTCTTTCTCTCCCTTCCTCCTCCTTCCTTCCTAACCTCCTTCTTTCCTAAGTTTCTTCCTTCCTCCCTCCCTCCCTCACTGTCCCCTTCCCCTCCTTCCTTCCTTCCTTCCCTCCCTCCCCCCTTCCTTCCACCCTTCCTTCCTTCCTACCTTCCCTCCCTCTTCCTTCCTTCCTTCCTTCCTTCCTTCTTTCCTTCATTTTTTCCTTCCTCCCTCCCTTCTCTTCTTTTTTCCTTCTGGAATGTTATAACAGATTTCCCATGTTGATGAACTGGCTCATTTAGTGGCAGGAACCAATCGTTCCTTGGCTTGTCCACATTTAGTCAGCCTGGAAAATACACAAACTGGAAATAATGTGAATAAACAAGTCAGGAGTAATATTTGCTTTTTCATTTCTAGTACCATGAACCTGGTAATCAAGTCTGTTCAGGATCTGGGCCCAAACTTTTCTATCAGCCTTGTTTTGCATGATGTTTTTTCCAAACCTCAGTGTATTTGGCTCCCTTACTCTTTCTTTTGTTAGAAAGCTCATTTTCATCTTATCAGCCTCCTGCACTGCACTTACCCTTCAAGATCCAGGGCAGATGTCCCTCCCTTTCACACATTTTATGATGCTCCCTGGAAGAATTAATCATATTCTCCCCTGGATTCTCTTAGAGCTTTGTACATCTCTCTATGCTTGCTTTATTGTGATCGGTATTTATTGTCTTATCCATCTCCTCCACTACTCTGAGGTCAAAAATGGTTTCTCATTGTTCTAAAAACTTCAGTCCAACAGAGCAGCGGCACAGAGTAAGCGCTCCATAAATTCTCACTGGAGACATGCCAGAATGCAGAGATCGCAATCCTTCTATGGGGAGTAAAAAGCTTGTCTTTAATATCCTTGCAACTCCTAAAATCATTTGCACGCTACCCAATTTGCAGAGTGCTAGAAATATCAGAAACTGGGCATCTGGGGCAGAAAGCCACCTGGAATGCTGAGTATAAAACTGTAGGGAAACTTACCATTTCTTGGTGCGTGTATCCATGTAGCAGAACCTGGGCATCAAGCAGACTTTAAATGTAGCGTAGAAGCTCAGTGATACATTCGTGAGTATTTCTGCAGTGACACTAGACAAAAGTGTTTACCACTTAAGCCAACTCTAAAAACTGGAATCAGTTGCACTATTGCTGAGATGGCTTCTGAGGGTAAGTATGCTGTATGTAAATGACGCATGAGGTCTGCCAGAAGCAGGAAAGGAGGAGTAGGGTGTGTGATGCATACTTAGCGTGTCTGTACTCCTCTAAAAGCCAATGTCTTTCGTCTCCAGACTCCCAGCGCATTACTTGACACATTGAATATGATCTACATAGGGCTGTTGAATGAATGAATGAATGAAGAAGACTGTCTAACCTGATAAATGGCAAAAATGCAAAATTGCCAGCTTCATTGGTACAGCTCTGTCATTCTTGCACCCCTCTATAATTATTAAGCCTTTTCAATGACCTTATGATATCAGAAACTTTACAAATTATATTGCATGCCCCCTGATTCCAGCAACTTAATTCCAGTATCAATGACCTTATAATGGCCTTTTTTTTTTTTTTGTCCTTCAAGCACTGCTCAATGGACATCTGTGCACTGAGTAGGGTTAGCGGTCCATGAACTGAGCATAGGTTCAAACCATGTTACTTACAATGACTGTGGTCCCCTCTCTTCTCTGACCACCTCTTTTTATTTTTTTTTTAAGAGAGAGAGAGAGACTGCATGAGGTGGGAAGGGGCAGAGGGAGAGGGAGAGAGAGAATCTTAAGCAGGCTTATCTGTAGCACAGAGCCCAACGTGGGGCTCAACCCCATGACGCTGAGATCATGACCTGAGCCAAAATCAGGAGTCCAGCGCTTAACCACCTGAGCCCCCCATGTGTGCCTGACCACCTCTTTCTAACAAGGGGCTTGGAAGAAGCAGTAATATAAGGTGGTAGGGAGAAAAATGCAGAGAGGATAAAATGGATGAGGTGGGTTGTGAACCCAGGGAGGGAGGCAGAACGCAGGTAGGCAGAATGCAGGTAGGGGGGAGTGGTGTAGTATGGGGACGCCACTGGCACCAGGGGTCAGCCTCACCACATGGCGCCCCTGGACTTAACTGTACCCGCCCCCCACCGCCCCCAATGTCCTCACCTTCACTCCTTATGGGCAGATCGAACAGCTGCTTGTCCTGCTGTACTAAGAGACTTCTACATCTATCTGGCACTTTTCACGAGACAGTCACAGCACTGGACCCTGGATTAGGGTATGTTTGTGCCACATCAGGACTACGGGACTTTGTGACCGGGCAGAAATCCTACTGGGTTGTGTCCATCCTCATTAGAAAGGTGGTGTGTGAAGGAACCGAGATTGCAGACTAGAGTAAGGACCTTGTTTCATTTTCGTTTAAACTTGCAGTTAAACACTCGAAATGAGGAATTTATGTTTAGACTTGGAAGGGAATGTTCTAGTCGAACGTTTCTCAGATCTGGATCCTGAGGTTCTAAGTGTCTGATAAACTGCCTGCCTGGTGACTAACGAACTATAGCGGCAGAACAGGGGTGACAGCCCCTCGCTGACACATGTCTCCTGGCCCAGGACTACCTTTCTTTGAGAGCCGAGTTAATCAAGAGATAACTAGCTTTCTAAGCAACATTAAACATTTCAAAGAGTACCTGACAGTGGACTCCTCAACCAGCCATGCCATCACGTCAGGGGTCTTAAAGAGCTTCTCCACACCCATGTGGAACGTGTATTCAGCAGGCAATTGTTCTCAGGTGTCCTGAGTGAAAGAAAATAGTTTTGATCAGGAAGGAGCTGGGTCCCCATCCCCATCCCCCGCTATGGCGAGAGAGCGTGGTCTAGTCCTCCTTAGGGAGCAAACCTGGAAGGAAGGTAGGCAGGACCCCCACATAGGAATTGGTTATATTTTGTCACAGGACCACCCAGCTACCCAACCTATCAGTCACCAGCTGACAGGTTTCCCTCCCCTTCTTCCTCTGCTTTGCAGTGAGGACAATCCTCCTCTATTCTCTGTCCTGGGAGACGGCCTGGGTTTCTCTGTCTCATCCCCTCTTCAGCTAAGAAGCACACACTTATGATTAATCAAACTATGAATGCATATAGTCAGTCAGAGGGTGGCTTCTTTAGAAACAGCCAGGGGCTGCGTATTTAATGCACTGAAGCGCCTTTTCACCCCAGGAGTTAAGCTAACTTCTATTGAGGATTGTCTCCAGCTCTGTCAATGATGAAACAGAAGCTTCTCCGTAAACCCCAATTTCATGCCATGAAAAGATTGCACTCTATGCTAAGACTTTAAGAATGGTTTTGGGGGAAATGTTAGAGACTTTTAAAACAGGAAACCAGCAAAACTCCCACAAATCTTCACATTCACATAGTGATTTCTAATTTACAAAGCACTTTGCGCTGGCTAGTCTTGTCTGTCTTTCACTTTAAACCACAGAATAACCGCACTGGTTAGGAGGAGTCTGGCACAGAAATCTACCCCGCTACACTCCATGCAGCTTCAGTGACAACACTCAGGCCCTTGAAAAAGCCATGATCCTCTTGTCTCCAGCATCTGTTCCCACTGTTTTCTCTATCAGGACTTCCCAAGGGAGTCCTGCCCATTCTCTCCCTGCCCCTTAATTAACTTCCTCTTGGGGCGCCTGGGTGGCTTAGTCGTTGATTCTGCCTTAGGCTCAGGTCATGGTCCCAGGGTCCTGGGATCGAGCCCTGCGTCGGGCTCCCTGCTCTGCAGTAAGCCTGCTTTTCCCTCTCCCACTGCCCCTGCTTGTGTTCCTTCTCTTGCTGTGTCTCTCTCTGTCAAATAAATAAA